AACCAACCGTTGAAATACAATCTCCACCGTTGAATATCAAGACCACTGAGTCACGAAGATAACCCAAAAATTTCAGCCAAATCGGAGCACGTTTAAGCCTCCAAACGTTCTCTTGAACAAACCCTGACGAAACTGTTTTTCTCCTTCTTAACCTACGAAAATTGCCTCTCTTCAATTTGTTTCTCTTTTTTGCAAAATTAGGTTAGGAGTCATATATATATACTCTCTCATAACCTTTAGCCCAATAACCAATTCTCATGGATCATAAGCCCAAGTTTGGTCCATCTCAAACCAAACCCAATTGGTTTCCCCACTAGGAGGAAAACCATCACAGATCACCTTCTCTTCTTTTGAAAGCAGCTTCTTAGGCCCTGCTCGAAAAATTAGCAATCAAAGTTAAAGCAAGGAAAATGGACAAAGGGGATTAGGTAAAGCTACCTTCGGATTTGTTGCCAGTGGGATCATCGTACTTGTCGCTATTGAAGAAGTTGGTAACGTGGTCGAATCCCCTGTCGTAAACTGCCCACCTAGGATTCTTTGGAGCCACTCGCTCGCTCGGAGATGTTACACCTAGTGTCTCTCCACCATCTCCATAGTCGGAGAAAGTGCTTGGTTTGTCGAGAATCACAGGCTTGAGTTGATTCATCTTGGCCTCCTTGTACGTCAGATAGTCGTTCAAGTCGACGTTCCTGAGAGGAATCAGCCCTTGTCTCTTTTTCTCCACCCGAACCCCGAATTCCAGCTCCTGCGCTATCTTCCGCTTGTCCTTCTTCGTCAGATTCACCTCCGCCTGAATATCCCTCCATTCCTCCGTCAGGCACATCAATTCTCTTGGGCCCGCCCCGCCGCTTGAGAAGAATACGACAGAAAAGAATGATTTCAAAAGATAAAAACAAATGACTAAAATTACATGTCTATTAAATTAAGTCAACACGATGATTTGGAAGATGATAGGAATAATGAAACCAATTACAAAAATAAAATATAGGAGTTGGTTAATATATGCAAACGACGACAGTGGATTCCGTGGTGAGAAATGAGAACCAACCTCTTAAGAGAAATTGAGATTTAGATTGATTACATTCATTCATCTTCGATTCCTAATGCGATGATCGTGTTATTTTTGTTTGCGTGTATTTCTTCTAACAACCATTTAGTATTTCATTAAGAAAAGAAAAAAAGAAATATTTCTCAATAATATGGATTATGCGTATTTTAAACATGAATTAAACAACACAACACAACGATAATGCTAACGCAAATTATAATAAAGATGACAAAGTATTTCGCATTCAGAGTAAAGTGAAAAACAATTAACGGAAAAATTTCTCAACATTTATCATGCAAATTTAAACATGAATTAAAACAACACAACGACAATGCTAGTGGAAATTCAGAATAAAGAGTAAAGAGTAAAGAGATAAATAATTAACGGAAGACAGAATCTAGTATAATTACTTTATTTCACACCCAATTTCGATTTGGTTTATCGAGTTACGGATTTTTTTCAATCTACATTTTATCGGTAAATCTTTCAATATCATCTTCGTTAAAATCATCTAGTCTCTTATAGTCGGAATAAAAAGGGAAATAATTGTAATTTGCCCACCCCTACTTGAAACGATAGGATTTGATTAAATTAGTCTTCATATCGTAAAAACATATCCAATCAAAACCAGACTATCATTACGACGTCGTTTTATTTGGGAGGAAACACATAATTCACTAATTTCTTTTCTTCCGCCAAACTCTCTTCTTCCACATTCACCCATGACTTTCCAAAACTGCTATCCAAAACCCAAGTTCCCTTTTTAATTTCGGTTTCCGAAGAATTATGCTTAGCTTACCTTTGAG